GAGAAGAAGAGAAGTTGAAAAGAAAAGAGAGCAAAAAATCTGGCCGCCCCCTTCACTTATTATTTATACTAAAATAATAGAACAGTACAAAGACAACTATGCCCTTATAGGGCGGCAAAACATAAAACAGCATATATAACACTCAGAAACATAATAAAACTTGGACTCACATAACTACTGTGGTCCCCACCTCCTATCTAACAACTAACATAAAAATCTACTCAGAAAAATAGCATAAAACTAATTAATCTTCAACAATATATATATATATACATATATATATATATATATATATATATATTAGCAACAAAGAAAGGAATTCATCCATTAAATGATTAAAAAAATCATAAATTACAAGCAGTTAACAATATGACATGTCCTAATACACAAGCTTGCCCTCAGCTTGAACTTTATCATATATCTCCTCATAACTGTGCATGATAAAACAGCAGTTGCATATCAAAAAAAAAAAAAAAAAAAAAAGATAAAAACAGTAGTACAGCAGTTATGAGACTCATCTGTGCCCCCACTATCTTATATATTAGCTGTTGGGAACAAGAGGAAAAATTACAAATATATCACTGATAACCAGTTACACAAAGAAACCATAATAAAAGGACTAACATAATTGAGTTACATAAATGCAACTTTACTTGTAATATCTCTTCTAATTTTATGTCCTTTTCTTAATTTTAAGTTGTGCTTGGTGCCATTGCCCATTGGTGTTTCAATCTGCAATGTTTTGAGTTGAAACTTGAAACACAAACACCATTATTTGTACTCAAATCCTGTTTGGAGAGAAATGTGTGTTTTTCATCCCTGTCAACACCACATCAGTGCCACATCAGTCTGGGCATTGACACTTTGCTTCCAGAGGAGGAAAAATCAAATTGATGTTTCTTGAAACACCTCCTAGCACAGAATTTCATTTATTGTTTTAGGATTGTTATAACTTAAAACAGTCTCCAACAAAACAGAAAATGGACCATTAAACTCAAAACGCCTATGTGGTGATGATGTGGCAGCTTTTACACTTGAAACACCAATGGTACCACACAACCCCCTGAAGTCTTCCCGCTAATGCCATCTGGAGAGGACTAGTACCACCAATGATTCAAGCATTCTGTTGGAGGTTTTTCATAATAACATAAACAAATGTGAGATGTTATAATGGAAAAGACCTTTCTGGTGTCTTTCACCTGACCTTGATACGTGCCTCTTGTGCAAAGCCAATAGCGAAAATTCTTTTCATCTGCAAATCTCCTGCAACTTCATGTCTGCTATTTGGGAGAATTTTTTGGCCTCCTTATGAAAAAAACATATTTGAGGATTGTTTTTTTTTTTTTTTTTCCACCCAAGGAAAAGAGCTAGAATTATGAGATGTGTAAGGATGGTGGCAATTCCTCTGTATGCTTGGGAAGAAAGGAATGCTCAATTTTTTAACAATAAGGCAAAGGGATTTATAAACATCATTAATAATATCTCTGTCAAGGTGGAACACTGGGTTAAAACCACGGAGCTTTATACAACAGATGACATAATAAATAATTGGAGAGAAGTGGCTGGTTCTGCTCTGACCAGATGAGAATGCTTGCCGATTGGTGCCCACCACAGTTCCCTCTCTTAAAGCTGAACATTGATTATTTCAGCCAAGGTAACCCTGGACCATCATGAGTAGGGAGAGTGACCAGAAATCACTTGGGATACTTTCTGGTTATCTATTTTAGACCTGTTAATGTGGGGGATTCAATAAGGGAAGAACTTATGGCTGTGCTAATAGGTTTGAAAAGGTCTAAACTTATGAGCTACAGATATCTGATTATTGAAGGGAACTCTAAAAGTCTAAAATAAGAACAGGATAGTTAGGAAGTAATGAGGATCCTTGGCAACACAGATATCAGAATAGAAGCAAAAGAATTGGTGAAGAATCCAGGTTAGTCGTAAGGTGGGTACCTAGATCTGCTAACATTCTAGCAAATGGACTGACTAACGGGGGGTAGCAAGGAACAAGATGTTTTGGGGAATTGTAATCAATACTGAAAACCTATAATGAGGGTTAGCTGAGGCTGACCATCACACAACTGCCAGGTACATTAACGGTTACATTAATTAATAATCCTTTTACATCTACTGATCAAAAAGCCTCTATGTCCTTTTCTTACCTAATATGATGGTTAAAGAAACATATTCACTTAAATTTTGCATTAATGCTTATCCTAATATGTTGTTGAATACTATGACAGCAGTGTTTTAAAAGCACAAGGCACAAAAGAAAGCGCAAAGGACATTTTGCACCCAAGGCGCAAGGCAAGGCATGCACCTATTTTTTTTTAAGAAAAACACAAAATCTAAAAAAAAATAAAAAAAAATGTAAAAAATCAAAATAAATTAAAAAAACATTAAAAATAGTATTAATTAAAAAATCAACCTTTAATTTTAAACTAGATGATTTAGAAAGCCTATTAGCTCAAATTAAAATACATAAACATAACATATAAGACATTTTTAAAGTGAAAAATGCAAATATAAAATAAAAAATAGCATATAAAACATATTCAAGCATGTTAAACTTTCAACTTCTATATATCTTTCCCAATTGCATTATTTCCAATAACCAATATTAGCATCTTTCATTCCTAATTCTAAGAGCTGCCTTTGTACCAAGTGGTCCAAGCCCCTTGAGGCAAGCTCAAACAAATCCATCTTAGGGTCTTAAATTCTTAATCCCTAGAAAAAATTGATTTTATAATTTTATTTATCTTTTAAAAATATCTTTTATTAGGGTGAATGAATGAATGAATGAACAACATTAGCGAATAGGGGGAAGTGGCTTCGTTAGGGGTCTGGGGGGTGAAGCCCCTGGCCCAGCCACCATGCTTAAAAAACACAAAAGGCACAAAAAAATAATAATAAAAAGGTGCATGCCTGGGCAGGTGCAAGTTGTACCAAGTGCATGCCTACGTGCAAGGCACACACCTTTGTAAAGGGGCTGCACCTGAGCCTAGACGAGGTGCAGGCCCTGAAATGTACCTCACCTGTGCGCCTTGGCACGCCTTTTAAATCACAGTATAACAGTTTACAATTTTCATACGAATTCAACTTACAATTCCCCACAATATCTTATAAAATTCAAAGTGTGCAGATCAACATTTCCAAAATACTTCCCTAGAAAACATGGGTCTTGATGCCCATGGAATGATTTGTGCTATTTGCTACAACTTCACTATTCAGTCAATGAATAAATTGAGGCCCTGTTTTGAATATGATGGTTTTAAGGGAAAACAATCATACATTTGACATAATAAAAAATAAGTAAACATTTTTGTTGTAAAATCTATACAAATAACAAATTGGCTGGCTTACCACCAGTTATCTTTCGTTGCTCATTTGCAAAGACCTTTACAATTTCACCCTGGATAAAAGAAGAAAATTACTTAGAATAAATTGAGAAACCTGTATGCATGTGTACAAACACAACTAAGATTTCTGTATTATGTATAAATATACATATACATCATACTCTATCTCTTCTCAAAAAAAAAGCAAAAACTTGAATAGGTTAATGATGAACAGAATGAAACTGAATGAACTAATATATTATGTTTTTTATTTTTTATTTTTTTGGCTTCATGGAGCCACACAACAGGGGTAGCTCAGCTCCCCACCATAACCCCCCAACCTTGGTGACAGCAGGATTTCATCCCAAGTCTCCACTACAACCAGCCAGAGACCCTACCAACTGAGCCAGTTGGCACCATCTAGCTAATATCTTATGCTTAACAACTCCAAATGCTCCAAAGGACTGAAGTAAGCCCATATCGCCATACGAACTTCCCTTGACTATCAAGATTAGTGAAGATCCAGAGCCACATAATGTCCAAGGTCTTCTGTATATAAATTTATTGTTCTTACTGAGAATCCCTGATTAACACACCGGACCTAGAATTCAACAATTTTCTTCTCATCCTTGTCTTCTTTTAATTCTCCAGAGCTTTGGTAGATTAAATTGCATCTAGTTAGATTGTCATACAAACTCTGTCTTGAAACATGTCTTTGGGCAGAAAACTCCATCTTTGCAATAGACAACCTCATAACTATGGGAATGAGATGTTCATGCTCAAAGTTGAAGGAAATTTTCAATCAATACCATGATAAAGGGAACCGTGTCCCAAAATTAAAAGTAAATAATACAAAATATGCTTCTGTATACAATGTGAGCTACAGAAATAGAAAAACTGGAAAAAATTTCTAGCAAAGAACAATTAGATGGGACAGTCTAGTCTGGTACTTGAACAAGAACTACCTTGCGTTTTCTGTCATCCAGAGGTTGGACTTCAATAGCAAGGTAGCAATCAACATCATCAGCAGTAACTAAGTAGGTAGGTTTCTTTGCCCCTGTAGCCAAAAAGTCTTTAGAGATGAGATGCCATACAAGGACAAAGAAAAAAAGCCAGAAAAGACTACATGGGAAGGAGAATAGAGGACACGATGGGGAGGTATTACCCTCAATGTAGTTTACAGATCCATCTTCCATATGGCGTATCCACTGGTATAGCCAAAGGAAAGAGTATACACAAATTATAACTGAAAGTCAATAAAACTTCACTAAAAGAGGCATTTAAAGCACATTAATTGTATTTCCAATAATCAATAACCTAATTAATAAAATCCAAGGAATGAAATAACAGCAACAATTCAAAAAAAAAAAAAAAACAGTACCTCAAAATTACAACTGGTTGTCCCATTAATGGAGTATCCACATGCCTGAAGTTTTCGGCCTGGAAAAGCGTCACCTGAGATCTGAAGGCCTTCTACAGCTGGTAAAGGGTCATCATCTGCAGCTGCAATGTGTTTGATAGTTAATGTGAAATGAACATGAGATAGCAATGCATAAATATAACTTAAAATGAAAGTTGAACCAATTAGCTACCTTCAGAAAATGAGGAAGAAGGTTCCTCAAGTACTGCAGGTAAATAGGGTGAAAATGAGGAGTTTGGATCATCAAGTGTGGGAGTCAAGTAAGCAGAGTTTCCAGATCCCCAATGAGCTGAAGTTTCTCTCTCATTTTGGTGCCTAACTGCATCTGAATCAACCATCTCATTGCTACTAACAAAATGGGTGGTCGCTTCACTAAAACGTGTACTTTGAGAATCACCATGAGCAGCAGTAAATTGCACAGCTGCATCTAGGATTGCAGAATTCCTGGAGTTACATCAGAAGCTTTTAGTCTGGCAAGACATGTCATAAAACCACTGGAATAACCATAGTATACTGTCATTAAAGTTTATTTGGAACAGAAGCTAGAAGCTAGCACCAATCAGTATAGAAACCCATTACAATTTCATGAAAATCATGCATATTAGAAATAGTATAAGGTGATCCTGCCCTATTAAAAGAGAAGATGCAGTCTTGACTTTATAAAATTAAAGAAACTAACATATAGGAAATCAAAGTAAGAGGGCCAATAATTGTGTAAAAACCTCAGTGTCACTAGACCAAAAGCAGAACAAGAGCAAAATATTGAACAATATCTTCTTGCTAATTCAAACAAAATCCTCTCCCAAAATTTGAACTAAAAATTGAAGTATCTAACACGAAACAACCATGGTTCAAAATGTCCCTAATTTCCCTAATATTTCCACGACATATTTCCATTTCCATGGGTAGCAACACAAAATTTTATCAGAATTGACATTTCCCCAATGAACACTATTAGCACTATGTAGAGTACAAGAGATAGTTTCCACGACATATTTCCATTTGCACTTCCATGGGTAGTGAAATGAAATTTTACTAGAATCAACATATTCCCCAATGAACACTACTGGTACTATGGGGAGTCCAAGAGATGGTATTATAACAAAAGTTTACATTTTCTATGAGTCAAAATTTTGCTTTAACTCATTTTATCACGAAGCTCTGGATCTTAAGGTTTACAGGGAAACATCAGAACATATTCTTTTGTCTATAACCTTAGTTCTTTTTTTTTTTTTGATAAGTGAAGTTAGATTTTATTAATTCTGAAAAATATAATCATTACAATCATCCCTTAGAGAGGCACGAGATGCTACCTCTTTATAAACAAAACAGAAAAATTACAAGTGAGCCCAAAACAAAGATTGTCCATTCACCCCTTGCTTGGCTAGAGTATCAGCTAATCCGTTTGCCGATCTCCTCACCCATTGTATCCTCAAATTCATATTCTCGGTGATCAATAAAAACCTTTTTAATTCATCCCTGTAGCACCATATCACAGATTCTAGATCCTTTAACCAACCCACCACCAATTTTGAGTCCCCTTCAATCACCAAATTGGTTATGTTCAGCTCATTTGCAATCTGTGCTCCTTGTAAGGCTGCAAGCAATTCTGCCTTGAGAGAATCCCCATACCCCAGTGGACCAGAAAACAAGGTTATTAATTTGCCTTCCATGTCTCTCACAACCCCCTATACCAGCAGGTCCTAGATTCCCCCTGCTACGACCATCAAAATTCAGTTTTACATAGTCCTGAGGTGGGGGATGCCATGCAACATTCATTCTTTCCTTTCTAGAAGAGCTTCTTGCAACACATTCCCAGTTCCTCCATAAGCCGTCAGGAGAAATTTGAGAAAACAGGTCCAAAGATTTGATCCAATGGATCACTCTAACCATCACACAATCCTTTATCTCTTCCTTGCTTCTTACCTTATCAGAGAAGATTCTTGCATTCCTCTCTTCCCAAATGGTCCAAACCAAGGCTTCTCTAGCACACTTCCACATTATTCTTCCCCACTTTTTTGGTCATGTAAACATAGAAGGATCAAACAGCAAGTAAACCTCCGTTTGTAAGGACCACCTGCACCCAAACAAAGAAAAAAAAAACAATTCCATATATCTGCAACAAAAGAGCAAGAAATCAGTAAGTGATAGCAATTCTCGTTATCAGATCTACACAAAAAACACCAGTTTGGAGTATCAAGTCTCCTCTTCTATAGCATTTCCAAAGTATTTAATGTTCCCATGAATTACTTCCCAACAAAAAGCACTTTAGGGGGTATAGGTTTGCACCCGAACTCTCTCAAAGGAACCAAAGTAGAGGGCAAAGAATCACAAAGAGACTTGAAAAAGGAAGCACAAGAAAACAGACCCTTAAGATGAGGGCCCAAACACGCTTGTCTGACTTATCAGGATCAAAACACACATGTTGAAGTATTTGAAGCAAACCCAGAAAGCCTTAGAGATACATTCATTTTTGTACAAAAAAACTGAGTATAGGGATGGGAAGAGATCCTTTAGAGGATGAGATCCAATCCAGATATCCTCCCAAAATTTAATAGTATCCCCTGAACAAGCATCATACCTAACAAATTGGAGAAGAGTGGGCAAAATGCCATGAATTGCCATCCACAGAGATGCTAATGTAGCCCGGTTCGAAACACTTGCATCCCAGTCATTCCTCAACCTACCATGAATACTGGCTACCACCTTGAGCCAGAGTCTGTCCTATTCCCATGGCCATCTCCATAATCATTTCCCTAGCAATGCCAAATTCATTTTATCCACATTCCCAATTCCTAGTCCTCCCGCCTCTAGATTTCTACTCAGTCTCTCAATTAACCAAGTGGTCTTTTTTACCTTCTCCCAATTCCCACAAAAATCTCTCATCAGTTTCTCTATCTTATTTATTTCCTTTTTAGGGATCCTAAAGACCGACAAGCGGTAGATTGGAAAATTGGCCAGAGTAGACTTAATCAGAGTAATCCTACCCCAAGTGAGATGTAATTCCTTTTCCAGGTTGCTAATCTCTTGGTACACCTCTCAAAGATTGGATTCAAAAACCTACTTTCTCTAGGATTTGCACCTAGAAGAAGCCCTAAGTAGGCCAAAGGCCACCTTGAAATGGAGCAATCTAGGACATTGGCAATAGCTATAAGGTCTCCTTCTTCCATATTAAGTCTTGCAATACAACTCTTCTCAAGATTAATTTTAAGATTGGAGTCAAGTCCAAAATTCCTAAGCAAGTCCTTCAAATTCCTCACCAAAAGTTGATCTCCTCCTTCACAGAATATTATAATATCATTTGTAAACTGTAAGTGAGAAATAAATAACCTATCCCTTCCAACCTTCCAACCACTAATTTTATTCTCCTTTTCAGCCTTATGAATCATTATACTCAAGACATCCGTAGCTAGGGTAAAGAGAAAGGTGAAAGGGGGTCTCCCTACCTCAACCCTCTACGAGATGGAAAGAAGTCTCTCACAATCCCAATGACCAAAACCGAATAACGACAAGTTTTAATACATCCAAAGATCCAATTACACCATCTCTCCTCAAATCCACATGATTTTATTACCTCAATTAAGAAACCCAATCCACCAGATCATAAGCTTTCTCAAGGTCTAGCTTACATAAAAAACTTTTTTTCCTAGATCTTTTCATTTCTTTTACACACTCATTCACAATGAGGATTTGGTCAGCTATTTTTCTCCCTTTTACAAAAGTCCCTTGTTGTTGACTGATTAATGTAGGAAGAACTGTTTTTAGCCTTGTGGAAAGGACCTTAGCAATAATCTTGTACAATCTGGTCACTAAGCTGATCGGTCTAAAGTCCTTAGGGTGGCAAGCATCGGGCTTTTATGGGACAAGAGCTAAAAAGGTAGTGTTTATCCTTGGACTAATGAAACCCTTTTCCGAAAATTCGATGAATACCTCAACTAGATCATGTTTCACAATTTCCTAACAATCCTAATAGAAGGCCATAGTGAAACCATCTGGCCCAGGGGCTTTAGATTTGTTCATCGAGAAAAATGCCTTTCTTATCTCTTCTTCAAAAATCCTTTCCATCTAGCAAGCTTCTTCAGATTCCAGGCAAGTCCAATCAAGGTCCTCCATAACCACTCTATCAATCAAAGGTCTTCCATAGATGGATTTAAAGTGGTCTACAAATCTCCTAGCAATCTCACTCTGGTTGGTTATCTCCAATTTAGCCACATAGTTCTTCCTCTTTCTCCCATTTGCCAGAGCATGAAAATATTTTGTATTACCGCCCCCTTCTTTTAACCACTTGCATCTAGATTTTTTGTCTCCAATTGATCTCTTCCCTTAATAAGGTTTCTTCCAACTCTCTTTAAATTGCACCTCATGGATCGCTCCTCAACAACAATAGTCCCCTGTGCTTCCTTCTTATCTAATTCCTCTTGGTGGACACAAGATTGAGCTTTTTCTCCTCTAGTCTTCCAAATTAATCCCTATTCCACTCTTTGATTTTCCCCTCAACCTCTTCAACTTCTTATGAAACTTTACACCTTTTAACCTTACATCACCCAAGTCCTCCTTCCACCATGTTTCTACTTTCCTTACAAAATCTAGGTGGGTGAGCCACATGTTCTCAAAACGAAACGGGGTGGTGCCACTTAAAAAGGTTTTAGGGCCTAGCTTGATAGGGAAGTGATCTGATGTGACTCTAGGTAAGGTTCTAGATACTAGGTTCTCATCATGGTTTTCCCATTCTTCATTAAACATAAACCTATCCAATTTTGAGCAATGGGGAACTTCTTGTAGATTGGACCAAGTGAACCTAGTCTATAAGAGAGGGAATCCCTTCAATTCACAAGAGTATGAAATCATTGAACTTCCTCATACTAGAGGTCACTTGCTGGTTTGGATTACTAGACTCATTTGAGAACCTTATCACATTGAAACAATTACCTATGAGGCCCCACAAGGACTACAAGATCACCTAATTCCTCCTGAACCCCAGATACTTCTGATCCAAAATCTTATCCACTTCTAAAATTGTTGTTTCTTGTATCAAGACAATATCTAGGTTCTCCCTTCGAAGTAGGTCTTTTATAACTCTTCTTTTCCTTGCACTCCCCGGGCCTCTAACATTCGAACTAATTAACTTCATAATTCTGCTTTGACAAATTTTCCTCCTTTCACCCCTGCCACTAAACTCTAGTCACCCTCAATGTCTAACTTCAATCACTCCACTTATGATCTCTTCTTTTTTCTCTTTTTCTTTTTTTCTTCATTCTTCCTATAGAATACCTTTATCTTTTCTCTTTTTCTTCTTTTATTCAATCTTTCTTTTGTCTCTCCACTTCTGATCTCAACTTATCCCATTCTTCCTATTGATGAAAAAAAAAAAAAAAAACTCATCCCATTCTTCCGATTCCAGCTCTTTCTTCTTATGTTCCTCGAGCTCAGAGCAGATCAGATAA